TAAGTAATTCTGAAATGAGTATGTGATTTGAGAATGGTACAATATTGATGATATCTTTTTAATAAAATTTACCTTATGGGATTTGTTACATGAATTGTGAAAGTTTTGATTTAAAGTTGAATATATATTGACATATGTTTTGTATAGATGAAATAATTTTGTTATCTTGAGAACCCCCACTAAATCCAAGCCACTAATGTGATGGAGACTACACTTCTAGAATTGGTAAAGGAAAGCATGCATCTCCTAAAAAAGTTTTCTCCTATAGGGGTGTTCACGGACGGGACGGGACGGGACCGGGACAGGCCCGTCCCGGTGAACAGGGACAGGACGAGATTTTTGTCCCGTGTCCTGTCCCGTCCCGTCCCTTTTTTTTTTGCCCCCAATCAATTCTGGACCTTTTTTGAATTGGGCCTAATGTTTTTCTCTTTTTTTTTGGTTCTATTTTTTTTTGCCCCCTAAATTTCAGTTCTGGACCTTTTCTGAATTGGGCTTGAGATTGCTTTCCTCTTTTTTTTTTCGTCCCATTTTTTTTGCCCCCTAAAATTTCAGTTCTGGACTTTTTCTGAATTGGGCCTGATGCTTCTTTTTTTTTTTTTTGGAGCAACCGTAAATTCAAGTTAATTTTGGGCCTTTGCTTGCTTTTTTAACAAAAACTCCTCTGAGACTGCAGTCACTCTTTATATATTACAGAAATTAAATCAAAGACTACCTAATTAATGAAAAACACCGTACTCAAATTAAAATACCATGCAACCGTCCGTTTAATGAGAATTACAACAAAATGCACGTCTTATCATTGTTAAATTTATGCCTCGTTATAGTTCACAATCAAGGGTCAGCTTCACTGATATTATATTGAAAACACCATCAGCATCTGAAATTAATCCTGCACCTCTAAAACTGTAACATTAAAAATCCTGCAGGCCACCATTCTTTTTTTTTGTTCCTGAAGGTCATGGAGTCGCCACTGAAGCACATTCTCCTACATTAATAATAGAAAGATCTGTTAAATTATATAGCAGTTGAGAACGCACACACATACATATGGAGGACTTATATATATATTGCATGATTCTTGGATGTGTTCGTATCATCTGAATACAAAACTCCAAACCAGTACTTGTCTTCACTCTATGATTGCTATCTCTACACAGTACACTTGATTGATGATATCAAACTTTCTTACAACACGCACACGTTCATGTTTTGCCCTTTTTCATCTTATCCATTTTGAAATGGCACAAATATCAAGCAAATAAGTATGTCAATTTATTTTTTTCCTAAAAATATAATTATTAACATGTAAAGAAAATTAAACTCAGATATACTAACATATACTTGATTTACAAAATATGAATTAATATCCATTCAATGACCATATATACCATCGATCCTATCTTAATTCATGTGCTGTAGTTGAGGGGACATGAGAAGCATAAAAACTTAATGCATGTATTAATTTGATGTTAATATGTAACAGGGAGAAAAAATTGACGCTAATAAGTAAGAAACAAGGCAAGCAATGCAAGTCTTGCATTCTCAAGCTCTTTAATATTTTGAATCACTTTTTAGCAATCAAGAACACAATAATAAATCTGCAATCCAAGCAGAACAATCCACCATAATTCATTTTCAAGACAATCATAACACAATCAGTTCAAACCAAAACAAGCAAGACATAATAATATAAAAATTTCAATCCATGACATTAAAGATAAATCAAAACAACTAACCATGAGCCAACTACAAAGCAATTTAACTTTCCAAGAGATTTGAAATTGAAGCTGTTAATTGCTCTTCTGCAAAAAAAAAAACACCATAAAAAGAACAATTTGTTAGTGCCTTAGTGTTATAAAGTATTTAAACAAAACTAAAAAAATAAATTAAATAAAATAAAAAATAAAAATTACCAATATCAGTATCATTGAAGTTATCAATATCAAATCCCTTTACTTTTAATGTAGATGGAGATAACCAATTCTGTGCACAAATTAGTGCCTCAGCCATATTTGATGATAGGGAACTTTTGAATTCATCAATGACACGACCTCCCGTACTAAATGCAGATTCTGAAGATACAGTGGATACAGGCATGGCCAAGACATCACGTGCAATCAATGAAAGGATTTTGTATTTAGAACTATTCACTTTCCACCATGCCAAAATATCAAAGTTAGGATGAAGAACATCAACTAACTTAGCTTGAAAATACCTCTCCACTTCTGCATATTTATCTGTTTCAACTTCAACCTCGTTTTGGGCAACAAATAGTTGCAGTAGAGGCCTAGATTCCAACATTGCCATCTGAAGTTGACTTAAGCCAGCAGGTTCACTTGATGCTTGTGTCTGACTTTGATTTTGAGATTCAGATGTGTTTGTTTCATGCCCACTTAAATAGAAGTCATACAAACAATACAAGGCATTTGTGACTCTATTTGTCATGGCTTCACGTTGTGTAGAATCAGGGAACATCTCATGAAAAGCAAGCTTCAAAAACTTCATTTTATACCTAGGGTCAAGAACCATTGCTATTACCAACAAAGGATTGAGATTCTCCAACTTTCCCCAATACTTTTCATACTTAACTTTCATCCTCTTAGCCATATCAGACACCAGAAAATTAGGATTATTTGCCCTTGTATGCAGGATAACAAACACATCAGCTATATGTTGAAAGCATACATTTGAGGTAACATAAAGTGATCCTGAAAATTGCAAAGTGATGTCATAGAACACTTTTAAAAAGACAACAAATTCTTTAGCATCTTTCCAATTGGAAGCATCAGGAGGACCAATTAATGTTTTCTCCACAAAATAGTTTGTGTAATCATTATCCTCTTTCTCCATTCTTTCAAAGACGCTACTGAATTTAATAGCATTCTCCAACATGATGTAAGTTGAATTCCACCTAGTTGGACAATCCATGGTTAGGAGGCTCTTAGAGTCAATTTTCATTTTCTCAACAAGCTCTTTGAATTTAAGCAACCTTCCTGGAGAAGACCTCACATATTTAATGGCATTGCGAATGCCTTCAATAGATTTGTGCATGTCCTTCACACCATCACAAACAATTAAATTCAAAATATGTGCACAACACCTCAAGTGCAAGAAGTCCCCATTAAATACCAAACCATTCCAATGGCTCAAAACATCTTTTAATTTTGCCACTGCATTATCATTTGAAGACGCATTATCAACTGTGATAGTAAACACTTTCTCAATGCCCCAAGCTAATAAACATTTCTCTATTTCTGATGCAATTGTATCACCCCTATGATTTTCAACTACACAAAAATTCAAGATTCTCTTTTGATATATCCATTCCTCATCAATCTAGTGAGCAGTCAAGCACATAAAGTTAGAATTCTGACAAGAAGTCCATGTATCTGTAGTGAGGCAAACACGAACTTTGGTTCTTTTAAAATACATTTTCAACTTCCTCGCTTCTTCAAGATACAAACCCAAACAATCCCTAGTGACAGTCGCTCTTGATGGGACTTGAAAACGGGGTTCTATCCTAGTCATCATTTCTTTAAACCCATCACCTTCCACAACTCGAAAAGGCATTTCATCCAATATAACAAATAATGCAACACCTTTTCTACATTCTTCTTGATTGAATACATGATGACTCAATGTTTTAGAAGAACCTAATTGAGAGCTTGACAACAAAGATTGTGTCTTCTTATTAATTCGGTTTGGATTTAAGACACAACTCTCTATATGTTTTTTTAATCCACTTGTCCCATATGAAGAGTGACAAGCAATTGTTGTTGGACAATACTTGCACTTTGCTCGAAGTTGCCCATTTGTCTGGCTTAAAGGAAGCTTGTCAAAATGATCCCAAACCGCAGATTTCTGTCTCTTTGCTCTCGGTTCATCTCCTTCCTCACCCTCAATACTTGTCAAACCAGTGTCTTTTTCCTTTTCATTAACAGGTGTTTCTATAGTTCTACTTTCATTTTCACTATAATCTTCTTGACCAGTTTGTGCATTCGACATCTTTAAAATAAATTAAACTTCTTTTCTGCATAAATAGAAAAAAAAACACAAATAATTTACAACTGAAATTGCTAACTAACTAATCAGTAATCAATATCCCCAGTTCGAATTCAATATATATCCTCACAACACAGACAACAATCTGACATCAAATACAATATATATCATTTAACTAAGCTCAATTCGAATCATGCATGGATGACACTTCCATTAAATGACAATATATCCTCAGTTCGAATTCAATATATATCCTCACAGCCAGTCAAACCACACTTCACAGAATCACAGCAAAGTTGTCCAAAATTTAAAAAAAAAAATAGCAGAGACAGTTACCTCGCAGATGAATTGATTCAGGGTGTGTTCACACTTCACAGCAAAGGCACGGCGCCACGGGCACTACAGAGCTGGCGCAGGGAGAGACACGGCGAGAATTTTAATTCAGGGCGATGCAATTTTTCAGTCAGCTCCAGGATTATGCAATCATGGGTAATTTTATACTTTTCAGTGATTGTCAATGGCAGAGAATCAGTGGAGACTCAAAGAAGAAGAGGCGGGAGAGTACTCACCGGCGTTAGAGACTCAGAGTGCAAAAAATCCGAGGAAAGAGAGGGCAGTCGGGCACGCTAGCTCTTCGGTGGTCACTATCGTGTGCGAGAGTCGGGATCGCAGGAGTAACAGAGCGCAGCCGCGGGGAAGGAACGACGAGGAAGAGGCGTGCCTGAAGGCAGAGGCGCCGAAGCCGTCGAGGTCGCGGGAGAGTTCAGTACAGACTACAGAGTGCAGGCGCAAGATAAAAAATCTGACGAAGAACGCTAGCGAGACGGTGGTCTGGATTCAAGATCCAAATGTGGCTTTGGCTTCAGCTATCTCCTTGTGCGCGAGAGTCGGGAAAGGAGTGAGCAGACCTTCGGTCGCAGAACGACGGAAGAGACAGATTTCAGCAGCTTTGATTTCTGAAGCCAGCGAAAGCAAAGACTCATAGACTACGAGATTCTGAGGGGTGAGAGCAGCAAGACGAGGCGCGGCGTATGGCTAGTATGAACTGAACCTCTGAGTAATTGAGTATGAACTACTAGAAATTTAGGGCTCAGGAGACGAAGGGAAGACCGGATAAATTGAAAATTGTAATTTTTTTTTATAATATATACCCCGGGACGGGACAGGGACGGGACGACCCCGTCCCGTAAATTTTTTTTCCCGTCCCGTCCCGTCCCGTCCCAAAGTTACCAGGACCGGGACGGACCTACCGGGACGGGACAATTTGAACACCCCTACTAGCCATCAATAGGAATCGCAAGTACTGTTTTTCTACCAACCCTCGTGTTTTTAGAGGAGCCAACTAGGCTTGATAACGATTATAATGGAAAATATGGATGTTGATGCTTACTTGGATAGAAGAAGTATAAGTTGCCTAGCACATCATTGTTTTGGTTTTCTAAACATGATGAGGTTAATTGTGTACTACAAGTATTCGGTTTTTGGTTGCTTTTCCTATAAGAAATCTTGCTAAAAATTCAATGAGGGTAAAGAGAAGCCACTATAGTTAGGATAGTATTATGATAGCCCTAAAGCCTGAACAACCACCATTAATCTATTTATGTTTCTTGGGTTTTTGTTTTTCACAAATTCTAGATTCTAGGCTTTAGAAGTAGTATGATCAAGTATGATTTTAATGGAATCCCTAAGTATTACAAGTTTCTACATTTTCTATATGGGGCTCCCAACTCAAAGTTGATTTTATGCCCATTTCATTCAAAACCAATTCTAGTAAATGCTCATTTTTTCCTCCTTTGAGACTAAAGTTGGTGGCATAAGCTTCTGATCTTCATCAACTTCTTGCTAATAAATATACAATGTGAGGATATTTCAAAAGCAATAATACATTCTCATGTTATGCTGATAGATCACTAAGTTTATGTTTATGGCTTGATATGGTTTTCATCTTGCAACTAGCCAAAATGTTTTAATTTAGTTGTTAATTAATAAGAGTGCTTGTGGCAACTATGTCTAAAGTTTTTAAGTCTAATCTCATGTATTTTCCTATAAGTTCGTATCTCGTGAGGTTGTGTTACGTATTCTATATTTTTGTAATCCTTCTATACTGTACCAACATTTTATTAATATGTTTGATCATTTTATTAAACAATTATTTTAATTAATATACATCTTATACTCATTTCACAATTATTTTTAGCATTATTATGTAATTATCAACACTTTCCTCTAATTATTTAGTCATCATTTTTTATTCAAATGTTTGTTAATTATTAATACTTTTCATTAATTATTTAGTAATGATTTTTCATTCAAATTATTGCTAAATCATTATGCTAATCATTCCATTTTCATTTATTACTAGAGAAGGTGAGAATTCATTCTTCAGGTGATAAAATTATGAAATTGTTGACCAAAAGAACTATTTTTAGTCACCTCACACAAAACAGTGGATGATTCTAAAGAAATCACTTGCCAGAAGAACGATTTTGAAGTTTGTTCATCTAAAGAATAACTTTTTTTATTTGATCAAGGGTTTTCCCTTTCAAGACTCAAAGCACAAAGGGTTTTCGCCTTTCTTAACAAGTGTTTCTCAAGATTTGAACTTCTATTTTCCTCCTTATGGGGATAAGGCTATTTATCACTTTAACTAACAATATGTTGGTACTGAAGAACAATTTTAAATATAGCATATTGGTAAATACTTTTAAAATTGTAGCATTTTTGTTTTTTAACTGTCTATAGCATCTGGGTAAAAACCCCACTTTATTATCTCTATACCCAAAAATAAGATTTTTATGAATGAAAAATCATATTATTATAATAGTTTTTATATATTATTTCATGTAGATAATGTACAAAAAGAAATTATAATAAATTTATTAAAATTTATCAAAACTAACTCTATATATAATACAAAGGCAAATGAATGGTAAAATTTTTTAAAATTTCACGTGTAATAACATTTTGTTATTCAAAAAATTTCCTTTTAAGTTAATAATATATAAGATATATGATTTTATTCTCTCTTATAAAATTTCAACATTATTATACATCATTTATTATTTAATGGTAATTTTATTGGTATGTTTTTTTTTTGCCATACTAATTTTATTATTATGAGAAATATATATTATGTAGTTATGTGTATTTATTTTTTTTAAAAAAAGAATTTGGCCTATCCCACATAACGCCAACAATTAAAAAATAAAACAAGTTCCTTAATAAATTATTTTGATCATTATTTTGCCTCTTATATGAGCAGGTCGTTTCTACTCCTAGCTTTAACTTTTTATTTGGAAGGAAAAAATTAAAGAAGAGAGAATGGAAAAGAGGGATATGTGAACGATGAAGAAAGCTATAAAAGAAGAGAGAGTTGGGTGAGAGGAAGAGAGCGGGATATATGGGGGCAAAAAAGAAGAAAGAAGAGTGGGACCTATGAACTATAACTTGTTAATTTTATTTTAGCTAGAGTTGGAAAAATGGGTCGGGCCAACACTTTGTCAGCCCGTTCATACACATCTTCTAAGAAAAAGACAACTTTTTACGAAACATAACACGTGAGCTCATGACCCATTCAACAAAAGCAATTATTTTTTTACATGTTTTTAGAGAAACAAAAAAAAATAGACAAAATTACTTATCAAACACATGTTGTTTAAAAAAGAAAAGAAAGAAATTAGTATCATGCTAGATTTTGAGATATATGAATCACTTCGAGTTTATTTTTTCATAATCATTTTTAAGTTAATTTCCTATGAACTTTTTTTCACATTCATTTTAACTTTACTGAAAATATAATTTCTAAAAATAATTTAATATTATGGTAACTCACTCGTTTTTTTATTTGGAGATGTAAATTGTTTCTGGTTTTTTTTTTTCACTTTGCAGATGTAAATTATTTTTTAATTTCAAATTAAAAATTTTATTTTTACCAAAATTAAAGAACACTAGTCAAGAAAAACAACTTTTTAAATTGTAAATATACACTTACTGTAAAACGTGCAAACCATGTTTAGTAAGGTAATATTCATTTTTATTGAGAATGATAACTTTTAGAATGAGGTTAATAGATTATATTGGTTATTTTACATTTATATTTATTTTTCATGTATAATATTTTTTTAATAAAAAGTGAGTTACATAATTATATAATCCCCATAATAAGAGAAGTTCAAAATTGTAATTTTATCCATTTTCTTAAAATATATTGAGTGAGTGTTTTGCTTCTTCTCTTTCTATCCTAGGGCTTTCTCTTTTAGGTTAAAAAGAGAAATAAGCATAATTATAATGTTCATTTATTACATTAGTTTAAAGTTCTAAAAGAAAAAAAAAATGGGTTTAAATGGGCTGGCCATTCTAAATCCAACTTGTCTTTGGAGGACCTAAATCACAAACCCGGCCCTCATTTTAAACGGGCTCAAACAGGTCGGTTCGACGAGCTTAACTTGTTTTTCCAATTCTAATACTAGGCCATATTTTATGTGTGCTCCACAAGAATTTCTCATGAATGAGTCTTTTCATATGTCATATTTTTTAGCAGCTAAGAGTATATCAAATTCTTCCACACCTACCACAAGGATTTCAATTTTTTTCTCTAAAAATTCAAAATTCAAAATTCAAACTCTCTTAATTTGTTTCCTTCCACTTCATTTTCTCCTTTTCTTTACCAAACCCCACACATCAGAGAGTGGGAGAAAATTTTCTGGAAGTTCATTCATTTCCTTCTCTGCTCAAGTCGCTGCTCTTCCCCTTGTTGTTGTCAGTGTGCGTGCAAGCCTTAGTCCACCGCTTAGGGTGCTGGAGTCACCAGATTCTCTTCTTCTCCCCCTGTTTAGACCGGTATCATGCGGGTGTACGTACTAGGCATGTCATTTCCGTGCCATAATCACTGAGGCCTTCTTCTTCTTCCTCTATTATGTAAATTGTTGTTGTGCTGTGGGTGTGGACAAAGCTTAAACCATCTCATCCCCTTTGTTTTTCTTTTTAGTCGCATATGCGTGCAG